AAGCCAGTATCTCAGGCTAGGTCCTGGGTCATCTAACATATGACATCCAACGGGCAAAGAGTGGCCAACAGAGGCCATGGAATCGGCAACATAGTTACTCTCACGGAACACATGACTAATCTTGACGTCCCAATCACGATCAAGTAGACGCCGGATAACTGCAGCCAGCGTGTTATGCGGGTGATTTGCACGTTCATTCTTTATTATCAACTCGGCCGTCTTCGAGTTCGTTTGCAACCAGACGTTCCTCACTCCCAACTCCCAGGCAATATGGAGACCATGTGCAATGCCGGACAACTCTGCATGCGTGATAGACCCACCCCCTAAGTTGACCGAGAAACCCTTCATGAATTGTCCGTTGCTGTCCCTGATCACTCCCCCAGCCGAAGCACTGCCCGAGGCTAACACCACGGAGCCGTCCGTGTTCAGCGCTACCCACCCCGGTGGAGGCTTCTGCCAATTAATGAAGCTCATAGACTTCCGCTGCTGCTGCTCCATAAACTTCTGAGCTTTACTCATAGCTAGGCTGCTTTGGCGTGCTAGCTTCTCCGCTTGTTGAGCCAAGAGTGTAGGCGATGTTAGCGTCTTATCAAACACCAACTTATTCATGTTCTTCCAAAGTTTCCAAGAAAGGATGGCGAAAAGATTAGCATCAATTGTTTCACTCCGGCCGGCAAGGTAATACAGTGCCCACTTAGTGAGGTCCTCTTCAAAAAACAGACTGTCCGGCTCTTCCCGCAAAACTTCCGACCAAGCCTCTCTTGCATAGGGACAGTCCCTGATCGCATGTATCGTCGTCTCTGGCCCTCCTCCATATACCGGACACACAGCAGATTGCGTTAAGTGTCGCCTGCATCGTTCCAGATTAGTGAGCAACCGCTGGTGTAGCACTAGCCAGAAGAACGATCGGGTACGTTGAGGGCCCTCGATCCGCCAACACCTCCTCCAAACCGGGTGCGGATGGCCAGGTTCCTCCAATTCTCCAAGTAACTCCACCGCCGACTTGATAGTGAACAAACCAGTAGGGGATAACCTCCAAACAGGCGTATCTGGGGTACTCCCCTCCGGCACCGGATGGAGCAGCTGCTGCGAAACCATTGCTTCAGGTAAGAACGCTCGATATAGGGGAGATTCCACTCCCCATTTAGGACCAGGTCTGCAACAGCCAGGTCACGTGCTTCTTCCGGGAGCTCGTTAGTGAATTCAATGAGAGGTGGCCCATCTTGAAGCCACGTATCCGTCCAGAACCTAGCTTGAGAGCCACTTTGAACGTTCCACATCAATCCTTGCGGAATATAATGGAGAATGCGCAACACTCCTCGCCATAAGTTTGACATACGGCCTGTCGTCCGCGGTCTCCAAACTCCATCCGTACATCTCAAGTACTTACCCCGCACCACTCGAGCCCATAGCTGATCAGGTTCCGTCATCAACCTCCAAGCAATCTTCATCATGAATTCCTGGTTCATTCTTGTAGCACTACGCATTCCCAACCCGCCTTCCTGTTTGGGTTTGCATACTGTATCCCAGTCCACAAGGTGGATCTTCCTACCCTGTTCCGAGCTGCCGCAAATAAAACCTCGGATCTTTTTATCAATGTACTCCCTCACAGACGCCGGTAGGAAGGAGGTCTGCATCGTATACGCTGGGAGAGAAGATAAGACCGACTGTGCAAGAGTTATTCTGCCCGCCAAAGATAGTGACTTAATTTTCCAACCTGCTAGTCTCAAGTCAATCCGATCAATGAGCTCTGTATACGTTGCCTTTGACACCCTGTCGTGGATCACTGGTACTCCCAGATACCGACCAAGATTCTTGGTCTCCGGGATATCTAACGTGGTACTCAACCTTCCACCCTCTGCTGCAGTCACATTCTTCGAGAAAAACACCCGAGACTTTGGCATGCTAATCTGTTGGCCCGACGCCGCCCCAAACTCTTCAAGGCACCTCAGAATAACCTGAGCCTGGCTCGTGGATGCTTCACTGAAATGGATTAGATCATCGGCGAAGAAAAGATGGGACAGTGTGGGCCCCTGACTGGAAAGGCGCACTGGTTTCCATTTGCCTTGTGCAACCGCCTTCGAAATAATATGACCTAGCCATTCTATGCATAGAGTGAAGATATAGGGGGACAACGGGCAGCCCTGGCGAAGGCCTCGGGAAGGCTCGAAAGACTCTGTAAGGCCCCCGTTCCACTAGATCTGCATGGTTGAAGAGGAGATGCAACTCAGCGTTAGATCAATAAACTGGCGGGGAGCGCCCACTGCCTGCAAAGTGTCACTAACAAAGCTCCATTTGATCCTAGCGTAGGCCTTCGCAAGATCAATTTTGAGGACCATCCAGCCTGTCCTGCCCTTCTTGGCCCGCATCGAATGAACAACTTCCTGCAAAATACAGATATTTTCAGTAATGTGTCGATCCGGGGCGAAGCTCGTTTGAGTCTCATGCACCAGGCGAGGCATGAGAGGCTTTATTCTTTCTGCCAGACACTTAGTTATCATCTTGTACGAGACATTGCAGAGGCTGATCGGCCGGAACTGGTCGATCGTAGCTGGTTTCGCCACCTTCGGGACGAGGACCACAATAGTTTCATTCAATTCCTTCACCCTAGCTGGCTGGTTCCAACATGCCTGTATAAACTCCAGAACTGCATCTCCCACAAGTTCCCAGTTCCGTTGATAAAATAGGGGATTGAGACCATCCTTTCCCGGCGCCTTTAGCCCGCCCATCGCCTTGATCGCCGTATGCACTTCCTCCATAGTGAATTGAACTGCAGTGGGGGTCCAGTCAGCCGCTGGGATCTCATCAAACATTGCCTGTAAGACTCGAACTCGTTCACCGTCATCTTTATACAAAGTTTCATAGCACTCCCTTGCCATATCAAGTAGACTAGCTTGGTCTTCCACCCACTCCCCTGCGCTATTCTTCAATGCCGAGATCCGGTTCCTCCTCCGCCTACTAATGGTACGGGAATGGAAGTAGCGCGTGTTTCTATCCGCCGAGGCAATCCACTCCATGTTGGACTTTTGGCACCAAAGGAGCTCTTCCTGCAGAAGGATATCCTCCAGGTCGGCTCGAGCCCGCCGAAGACTTGGGCTATCATCATCCCCGCCATACCTGTGCTCTAGTCGCTCGATCGTCCGGAGCAGATTATCCTTCTTTCGCATGATATTACCAAACTCATCTCGATTCCAGGTCGTTGCCTCCCTCGTGAATTCAACAACGGCCGAAACCAGGTCCGTCTCCCGCACCCAGGCTCTCTCCAACATGTCCGAAAATCCCTCATGCATTAGCCAAGCCACCAAGAACTTGAAAGGTTTGGGATCTCCTAGTTGAAATGAAGGATTGACCGTGATGAGAATGGGTCTATGGTCACTCCGAACCCGAGGGAGATGGCTCACCACCGTGTCCGGGAAGGTACCAGTCCAAGAGGCATTCACTATGCTTCTGTCTAGTCTTTCTTTCACACCAGCTCGAAACCACGTTTAAGGGGGGCCTGTAAAGCCGAGATCAATCAGCCCCGAATCTAGCATGCAATCCTGAAATTCGCGAGCTCTCGCAGCATCAAATGGTGCACCACCCAACTTGTCGGCTGGTTGGAGAATCGAGTTAAAGTCTCCCGCTAGCATCCATGGCTCCGTGATTCCTTCGGCCAGATCGCGGATAGAGTTCCACAAGTCTCTTCGCTGCACTAGAGCGGGGCTTGCATAAATAGCCGTCAGCAGCCACTGAACTTGTCCATATCGAACCCAGACATGCAGAAATTGGGATGCTCTATCGACCTCCGTAATTGTGACCAAACTCGAGTCCCAAACCACCCAAATTCCACCTGCAAAGCCCGCCACATCCACGACCAGATTCTGATCAAAACCCAGTTCTTTAATCACATCTTCTGCTCTAGTACCACTAATTTTAGGTTCCACCAAGATCACGATACTCAGACGATACTTCCTCCGATATTCCTTATACACTCTCAGGAAGCGATTGCTTCCCGCGCCCCTACAATTCCATACAAAGACTTTAATCATTACAACTATGGAAAGAGAGGTCTCAGTTATAATTCACCAAGCGTTTAGGCGGCAGGCGCCTCAGAGCTGAGGCCGCCCACCATGTTCGCACTAGATTCACTCGGGGTTGGTTCCATGTCCATGTTATTAGCATGCATGCAGCTTGTTGTTGGGGGAAGTTCAGTTCGACTGTCTGACGGCTTTTCTCGTGGACCCTTACCCCATCCCTCCGGGTGAACTCCCTCCTGATTTGTCTCAGAACTTTTTACTTGTTCCCTACGAGCAGAATCCCGGCTTAGCTGGGTGTCACACATCAATGATTGGGTCGGTTTTGTGGACCGGATTTCCACTTGGGTCTTCCCTTTGTTGGTACTCGAGGTTACCTTAGCACCAGGGACCTCATTGAGGTTTTTACTCGGCTCACTCCCCTTGGTGTTCTTCTGTGATTTTCCTCCCATAGCACCCTTATCACTCCTTTCTGGCTTCTTCGGCTGCTCCTGGGTAGTGTCCACAACTTGAGCACCATCTTCCTCCATCACTTCCTCGTTCACCAATGCCGTGAAGCGCGAGCCGCTCTGGTGGGGAACTTTGTATTGAGTCTCATGCTGGGCAATCTGTTTTCCCTTCGAGTTGTTCTCCTAGCGGCCAGCCCGTGGTTTCTTCTTCGCAATCATCCATTCTCCATACACCTTTTTCGGCTCTCGCTCACTGGGGGTCTCTGGCGGCTTTGTACCTCCTTCTCCTTGCTGCACCTCTGGGAAAGAGCAAGGGCATCCAATATGGTCAAAGAACTTCCCACACTTGAGGCATATCTTATCGAGGCCCTCATATTGAATGAAGTACTTGATCCCGTGTATCCTGAACTGGGAAAGCAGCCCGAAGACGACGGCATGGACCTCTGGCACGGGAGCAGCGCGCCATCTTTTCAGTGATGCGTGGAAGACGGATGCTTGGTACATAGCGGACTCAGACTCGGAAGATGTGGTTGCGGCTATGCGGGAGGACGGGTTGGAATCAGGAGAGGATGGGGAGGATGACCCTATCTGTCCAAATATTTCTTTTTCGGCTGCAGAGGAAAGACGATACTGTAGAGAATTGCGCTCCGCGCTGGTGGTGAAAGTCCTTGGCCGTTCGTCGTCCTACACAGTGGTTTCTCGCAAGCTTAATGCCATCTGGGCAAAGGCGGGAACGATTCAGGTAGCATCGGCAAAGAATGGGTATTTCCTCGTGCGATTTACTAGTGGAATCCACTATGATAGAGCCTTCACAGGCGGACCATGGATAGTGGGGGACCATTATCTGACAGTTCACACGTGGGATAAGAGCTTCAATCCCTATTGTCGCAACCGTCCCTCCGGGGGGTCCTGTGGTGTCTACACCTATAACCATGAGATTTCCTCCACCCTAGTGTGGGCTCGACTACTAGACATACCAGCACAGTATTTTCATACGGAGGCTGTGATGAAGATTGGAAAACGCATTGGGAAACCGTTACGTGTGGACCAAGCAACCAGCACCGGAGCTCGGCTAGATTATGCTCGAGTGTGTGTACAAGTTGACCTTACTAAACCCCTGCTTTCCCAGTTCAGGATACACGGGATCAAGTACTTCATTCAATATGAGGGCCTCGATAAGATATGCCTCAAGTGTGGGAAGTTCTTTGACCATATTGGATGCCCTTGCTCTTTCCCAGAGGTGCAGCAAGGAGAAGGAGGTACGAAGCCGCCAGAGACCCCCAGTGAGCCAGAGCCGGAAAAGGTGTACGGAGTATGGATGATTGCGAAGAAGAAACCACGGGCTGGCCGCCAGGAGAACAACTCGAAGGGAAAACAGATTGCGCAGCATGAGACTCAAAACAAAGTTCCCCACCAGAGCGGCTCGCGCTTCACGGCATTGGTGAACGAGGAAGTGATGGAGGAAGATGGTGCTCAAGTTGTGGACACTACCCAGGAACGGCCAAAACACGGTCGTGGACACGGCCGTGTCCTTTTCATCCCGTCCGTGTTTTGCAAAGTCACGTGGGAAAACTTAAATTGTCGTGGGAGAAACACACCCGTTCCAAGGAAAACACGGTCACTCCCAAGAGGGGACACGACCGTGTTTCAGTCGTGTAGCGCCCGTGTTTCAGTCGTATAGCGCTCGTGTTTTCCATTATTCAACAATAGTCACCAACAAGCTCTCAGCATTAATTAAAAACACTGGCTGGGTTCACGACCGTGCTTTGGGGCAATAGCGCGCGTGTTTTGCCCCTTGCATCCATTCAGCTCGCGCACTAAAAAGCACTGGCGTGCCCCCTAGTGACCACGACCGTGTTTTTAAGGTAGTCTGCCCGTGTTTTGTTTCAACTTTACCGAATGACCTCCAAACGACCCGAAACTTATGCCTAGCCCTTCCTTTGACGTATGCGACCTGAAATGTGACAAAAGAGCACAACCCAACGCAAAATAGGCCAAAGATACATGACTACCTGCCGCAAACGGATAAGAAACAAGGGTGCAAATATGTGCAAATACATCGTTGTCAAATCCCCCCACACTTAACCGTTTGCTTGTCCCCGGGAAAACCTAGTCAGACAGAAGGTGAGCTCAAAATATTTAAACCATGCAAGCTTTAGGGACATATCATATTGGCAAAAACACGTGAATCATACTAGCTTTTAGTCATCAACACATGAATAACTTCAATGGCAAACTAGACAGCCAACATAGATGACATTCGAGTGCAACAAAGGAAGAGTCTCCCTTCTGTTCACCAACCAACATAGACTTGACTCAACCACTTATTCAAGCCAGTCACCTCATGCATAAAAATCAAGATATCATAATCAAGACCGAGCAATCTAGGTCCTCACTGAGGTAAAGATTGTAAAGAGTATAAGGAAATGAATTGCTCACTCTCGACCAGTGGGGTAAGGACAATTTGATGCATAAAATGCGCAAGCTTATTCTCTCAATTTCTAGCGTCTCTTCACCATGATGGCATCCTCTAAATGCTAGAGTTCACATGTCGGGTGTCACCACTAACTAGTCAGGAGGTCTTTGACACGGGTTCAGATTACTGGCTAGGGTCTTGGACGTGAAAAAATGACTTTTAGGTGGTGGAAGAATTCATAACACTAGGTTCAACAGTTCCAAACCCAACACAGTTGCCATCATCCAAACCATTTACTTTCTTTCTGCTATTCTGCATTGAGTAAGTTCTTTAGAGCACAAAAGTGAAGGATGTCACAATAATGTTAGTATTTCTAAGCCAGACTGCTAAGAAACACTACTTAATGAGCATGATTCAGATTTTTAGTAGTGGCTCTCATTCATTCTTTTGCTTTCATTCTTTTTTTTTTGTTTTTTTTTTTGGTTTCATTTCTTGAGAGAACCACCACCTCTGCACATTTTTCAAACACATGCTCAACGTTTAAGAACTAACTCCAACCCTCATATTATTTCTAGCAGAAACATCAAAGAACATGCAAAAACCACTCTGTGAAACCTCTAAGAGATGCAAAAGGATGATTTTTCATTGTAGACCAAAAGAAAGAAAGTCTACAATCCAAATATAAAAAAAGAAAAAAGAAAAACAATAGAGAGTCGTAGTTTGGAAAGGAAAGGATGTAGTTATCCTCGTTCCCAGGAGACTACGTGAAGGGGCAGTGGACCGAGTTCTGGTCCAGGCCCAGAAAATGCATGATGTAGTGCTGGCTAGACATGAGACGGAGGCCGCGATCCCGCTCACTATTGAGGCGGGTGTGGCGGTGCGTCTGGCCATCTAGAATTTGCTCGTTATGACGAGCAATGGCCGCCAATTGGTCAGCAACGAGAATTGCAGGGGCGGAAAAAGACCCGGGGGCAGCAGCAGAAGATCCTGTGGGGGCATGGGCACGGCGGGCAGGACGGCGGAGGTCACGTCGCCCCATAGTAGCACTCGACCAGGAGAAAGCGTAGGCGGCCTAGGGAGACCCTTGATCCATGTTCAGAGGGCCATCATCCTTGAGAAAATGTTGATTCTAGAGAGTAGCTTTGCCTAGGGGGTCGAGCCGCGGATCAGGGTCATGCTAGCAGTGTCAACCTCATAGTAGCGGGCCAAGGCCGTGATCACCGGTCCACAGACAAGAAAGCGATCCTACATGGCGGAGGCCTTGGCGAATGTGCAAGCGACAACAGAGCCCAGCTACATAGCGTCCTCCTCCAGGCCCATTGAGTGCATGAAGTACAAAGTCCGGAGGGTGACCTGGTTGGCAGAGCCCCGACTGAGTGTGTAGGACTGGGTGAGCAGGTGGTTAAGGATCCGCCACTCTGGACGAAGTAGAGTGGCCTGTGTCTGGCTAAGTATGTACTCCTCGTCCACATTTGATGGAGTGCTCGACCCCGCCGAGTGTAAAACGGACGGCGTCAGCATGGTCAGCCGACTTCCTCTATGAATGGGAAAAGGAAGCGTAGAACTCCTAGACAAGCTCCTGGTAAGTCGGATCAACGAGCCAGAGGAAGCGCTGCCAACCATAGGCGCGAACAGCGGCCTCCATCTCCTCGCGAGCGTGGAGCGCCTCGAAAACCGCAAAGTCGAGATGCAGGTGCTCAAAGATGTGGCGGGTGCGGATGGTCCGCAGTTGGTGGCGTTGGGTAATGATAGAAAGGTCTAGGTAGTCCTCCATGATCCTGCAAATCAACAGAAAGCACAAATGCCACACATAGGAGTGGGTTAATGTTAGGCAAAACCACACCGGGAGGCCTCAAATTGAAAGATTTGGACAGTGGACTAGGCTCCCGATGGAACAAACATGCACACCATAGCCATACATCCATCCAATCTGCAATTCACCAAGCAACCGCCAATCGAGCAGACATGGGCACAATTCTACACATGCAATTGGTAGGTCAGCGAAACTAATTCACGACAACAACAATTCAAGCATATAAACTCCATAGGCCTACCAAGATGACCCAATCTCAAGCTCTTCACCTAGAACCCTGGGTATCAATTCTCCAACATTGACCAAGAGAAAATGAGAAACACACCTTAAGACACAAGTACATACCACAGGGAAGGTGAAGAGAAGGAAAATTCACTCCAAGGACGAAGTCCAAGCTTGATTGATGAAATGCAGTTCCAGAATCAATCCTAGGGTTTGTTCTTCGCACTTTCTCTCTCTAGATCTCTGATTTTTGCTCAAAAAGTTGATTCCCCTCCTTTTGGGTCGAAATTGCCAGTTTAACCCGAGAACGGCCAAAACACGGTCGTGGACACAGCCCTGTCCTTTTCATCCCGCCCGTGTTTTGCAAAGTCACGTGGGAAAACTTAAACCGTCATGGGAGAAACACGCCCATTCCAAGGAAAACACAGTCGCGCCCAAGGGGGGACACAACAGTGTTTCAGCCATGTAGCGCCCGTGTTTTGCATCTTCAACAGCAGTCACCAACAAGCTCTCGGCATTAAAAAAACTGGTTGTATACACGATCGCGCTTTGGGGCAATGGCGCCCGTGTTTTGCCCCGTTCATCGATTCAGCTCGTGCACTAAAAAGCATTGGCGTGCCCCCTAGTGAACACATCCGTGTTTTTACGGTAGTCTGCCCGTGTTTTGCTTCAGCTAAACCGAATGACCTCCAAACGACCCGAAACTCGTGCCTAGCCCTTCCTTTGACGTATGGGACCTGAAATAAGACAAAAGAGCACAACCCAGCGTAAAATAGGCAAAAGATATACGACTATGAGCCGCAAATGGATAAGAAACAAGGGTGAAAATATGTGCAAATACATCGTTATCAGTGAGGGAGTGACTTGTGAGGTTCTTTGTTTGTACCACTCTCTTGAGACTTTAAGCATTGACGGATAACTTCTTGTTCTGAGTGTCTGAACTAAACGGCAGGAGAAGTTCGCAACAATCAGAAAGTTCAGAACTTGGAGGACAATCCACAAGCCACCCTGGATGCTTTTGTGGGACGCCTTACCCGGCTGATGCGAGACCAATAGGAGCAGTTTAATGCTCGCCTCGATGAGATGACTCAACACCTCAATCGACGAGATCAGTCCAATGAGGAAGCACTTCCACCACCGTGTGGGAGACATGGACGACCCCTAGGTCCTAATAAATTTCGACCCTTGCGAGGATGAGGAGTGAGGGGTCGAGAGGACGACCACCAGTTCAAGAACGTAGAGCTCATGAACCTCATGACTATAAGGAGTACTATGAGGAGGATGAGTATCCCCATCATAGGGATGATGATATTAGGGGGGCTGAAGATGAAGCGGCCATCATGTCAAGGGAGGAATGATCCGGAAGCTTACCTCAACTAGGAGAGAAAGATTGAGTACTTGTTCAGGTGCCACGACTACTCCGAACGGAAGAAGGTAATCATTGATGCTCTTGAGTTTTCTGACTATGTCGTTATTTGGTGGGACCAGCTGGGTGCCGAACGGAGGCTACACGGAAAAGAGACCATCACGACGTGGCATCAAATAAAGGTAGCCATGAGGAGGAGATTCGTGCCCGTTCATCATCAACGGGATCTACATCAAACTCTTCACTTATTGAGACAGTGTGCGAAGAGCATGGAAGATTATTTCAAGGAGATGGAGACACTCATTATTCGAGCTTGTGTTAATGAAGATAGAGAAGCAACCATGACTCGATTTCTCAATGGTCTCAATCGGGAGATCAGGCAGGTCGTGGAGATTGAGGATTTGGTGCAGATGGCTACTAAGGTCGAGAAGCAACAAAGGGGAGGCTATACAAGGAGGATTTTCACCATCCACAAGTGCGTCTCTGAGTGCAACTTAGGTTCCATTTGAGAAGAAGGAGGACCCAAAGACAATGCCCAAGTCGATTGCCACCAATGCGGGAGAGAAGGCATATACTAACACACATTCGAGTTCTATTGTGTTTTACAGGTGTCAAGGTCGAGGTCATGTGGCGAATCAATATCCGAACAAACTTGCTATAATCTTACTGGATAATGGTGATTATAGGTCTGAGCCTAAAGATGGAGAGGTCGAGACTGAAGATGAGGAAGAAGATGGCGAGGAGAGGCCAGTGTAAGGTAACTACAACTGGGTAGTTCGGCTACTTTTGAATGTGCAATAGAAAGAAGAGATTGAGCAGTGGGAAAACTTGTTCCACACTTGCTGCTTAGTCAATGAGAGGCTA